TAGATCTTATCTAATTACATTAAATTTTTAGCCTTGGGGCCAGCAAAGTGACTCAACTTGCTATCAAGCTTGGTGACCTGAGTTTGATCCCTGGAATCCACTGAGGGAGGAAGAGAATCAACTTCTGAAAGTTGTCCTCTGACCTCCACATGCACATTCTAGCACTCATGTACAATTAGAGAGAGAGAGAGAGAGAAAGAAAGAGAGAGAGAGAGAGAGAGAGAGAGAGAGAGAGGCAAACACACAAACACAGATAATAATAAATAAGCTGGGCATGGTGGCCCACACCTTTCATCCCAGCACTTGGGGGGCAGAGGCAGGCAGATCTTTGTGAATTCAAGACCAGCCTGGTCTACATAGCAAGTTCCAGGCCAGCCAGGGTGAGACTCGGTCTCAAAATTAAAAAAAATTAAAAAAAGTCAAAGAAAATAACAATTTCATGTTTTGCAGTGTGCTAAAACGTTTATAAATCTGATGACTCACATCTCCAAGGAGCAGACGGTGCAGTACATCTTAACCATGGTTGATGACATGCTGCAGGTAGGTGCATTCTTAGTACTGTTGATGGCTTTGTCTTGTTTACTCTTGCACATACAGCAGTTCTGTAAGGTGGGGCTCACGGATTCTTCTATACATAATCCATTTTTAGTACTTTGCTAAAAGTGTCAAAGTTGGAAATGCTCACATAAAGGTATTTTTTTTTCTCCCAGAATACCAAGTAATTAGTATGTGTGTTTCTCTGAAATACATCAGTGTATGTCAGGTTTTTTTTTTTTTTGCTGGACCTGGGCACCCACATGGTGGCTAGCAACCATTTATAATGCCAGTTCCAGGGGATCTGAAGCCTTCTGACCTCCGTGGGCATTGCACAACACGGGTGCACTTATACACATGCAGGCAATACAGTCACACACATAAAATAAAAATAATAAAAATAAGATGGTGGCTAGCAACCATTTATAACGCCAGTTCCAGGGGATCTGAAGCCTTCTTCTGACCTCCGTGGGCATTGCACAACACGGGTGCACTTACACACATGCAGGCAATACAGTCACACACATAAAATAAAAATAATAAAAATAAAATACTTTTAAGAAATACAGCAACAAGCCCTGAGGACTTCTGTCCAGGGTGTGAGAGCATTAAGCCTTGAAAGCTAGAACCAGCGTCTGTCTTCTCTTATCAAATGTAATAAATAATCTACCTGGTTGCACAGCTCCTTCAGGCAGGTTTGTTCCTGATCACTTGGGACAACCCGATCTAATATCCTTCTCTGAACTTCCCCTGAGCACAGAAAGTAAGTTATTTTTAAGTAACTGTCCTGTGTAGCCAGCTAGATTCTTCCAGCTTGGCCTTGGGTTTTGATCTGAGTCATCTCTAAGTGATCATAGGTTCTCACAGAGGCTGAAACTACTGTCTTAACCCTAACTCCAAATCTTTTTAATACTTTTTATTTCTTCTTTGAGAAGTTCATAGACATATACAATGTGTTTTGACCAAATCTACCCCCTCATTCCACCCCCTTCCAACTCTTACCACACCTACCGCACCACATCTCTCTCCCAATTTTATGTACTCTTTTTTTTTTCAACCAAGTCTAATTAGCACTGCCAGCACGTGCTTCAGTACAGGGCCTTCCACTGGGGCCAACCAACTCTGAGAAGAAAACTGACTCTCCCTCCTCCAGCCGGCATCGACTGCCAACAGCTCCTCAACTAGGGATGGGGCTCTGGAAACTCATCCTCCATCCATGCTGGAGTTTTAACTGGCTTAATCTTGTGTAGGTCTATGCATGCAGTCACCACTACTGTATGACTCCAAGACTTTCCAACATACAGACATACAGGAATACAGATAAAGAATGCAGAGTTCTGAGTACGATCTCAGAAGAAGAAGGACATACATTCAGTTTTACGATGACTGGACAAGAAGCTATGCTCAGGCCCTTAATCCCTGTGAGTTAGGACCCAAGTTTTTAAGAAGCAAAGAGCAAGGTAGGAAGTCATTTCTCTCATCCCCCAACATTCTCAGGCTCTCTGAGGGAATGAATGGAACCACACAGCAGCCCAGCTCAGTGAGGAAGGCTTCCTTGCTTCTTTCTAGATACTCTGGGCTCTGGGATCTCCTCTATCAGATGGGAGAAGCCAGGAATCTCCCTCCTAGCATAAATGTACCTCCCGCTAAAGGCGTGGGTGCAGGTCAAGCAGAGCTATGGCAAGACATCTCAGACCTTCCTCACAGCCGATACCCTTCAGGATGCTCAAGGGATTGAGGAAGTGTGGGGACAAAGAATGCTCTAGGAGGTGACTGGTTTAGGCAAACTGAGTCTTTTTGTTAACTGATGAACATGTAAAAACTTCTGTGTGTCGTGGTGTAACACTTATAATCCTAAAACTCCAGAGACTGAAGCAGGAAAATTGGGAGTTCAAGGCCAGCCTAGGCTACGTCGCAAGACCTGAGCTCAAAAAAAAAAAAATTAATTAAAATTCTACATAGATATAGCATGCAATGTTTAACTCAGATTAGACTTCCGTATTCTGAAACATTTATTATTTCTTTATGGTGAAAACTTTTTTTGCTTTTGTTTTTGTCTGTTTTGGTTTGGTTTGGTTCTTTGAAGCAGGATCTTGGGCTGACCTTGAACTCATGGAGGTTGCCCTTGAACTCCTGATCCTCTGTCCTCCACCTTCTGAGTGTTGAAATTATAGACATGAGCCATCATGCTCAGTTAATGAAATTTTTTAAAACCCTTCTTGAAATGTGCAGTGCATTATGGTTATCCAAAGTCATCCTACTATACAAGAGCATACCAAAGTGCCCTGGTTAGCCGTAACTCAGTACTCGCTGATCGAGCTTCCAACATCTCCTCTTCCTACTTGCCCCGCCGCTGGCAACCTCCATCATACTATCACGTGTATGAGGTCAATGTTTTCAGACTCCATGTGTGAGGTCATGCAGTATTCCTCTTTATTTCACTTTACACATTTGCCTTGTTACAGTTAATACCGAGCACAGGTTCCCTGTTGTCTCTGTCCATTTGTAAGTTAATAGACACATGGATTGTTTGAATGCTGTGAGAAGATTAAGTTTGGCTTCCCATACTTCCCGATACATGGCTAAAGAAACATAAATGGAAAAAGACTGAGTTCTGGGCCGGAGAGAGGACTCGGCAGTTAAGAGCACTGGGTGCTCTTGCAGAAGACCCAGGTTCAAATCCTAGCTCCCACATGGCAGCTACAAACATTCCTAACTCCAGTTCCGGAAGATCCAATGCCCTCTTCTGTCTTCCAAGGGCACTGCACGACATGGGTGCACTGCCACACATACAGGCATAACACTCATAAAATTAAAAGAAGTAATTTTTTTAAAAAAGATTGAATTCTGAACCAAGCATCAAGAGACCCAGATGATGCTTAACCCAGAACAGCTTTTTTCCCCACATAAGCCCATTTGCTTCTCTGAGCCTTGATTTCCTGACTCTGAAAGAATAAGAGTCTCTGCTGTATCTAAGAAAGCAGATGGCAGGAGTGAGACCTAAACTCTGTGAGACCAAGACCATACGTCCAACACAAGACTCCCTGGAGCCTCTCATTACAAAGAATCCTTCCTTGGGAGGGACTTGACACCACTAAGCACCAATCTGCTTCCGGCGTGCAACCCTCTATCATGGCTCCTCACCCAGCTAACCCACAGCAGTGCGCTCTAGAAGCAGAATAAAACTCTCGGGGGATTTTGCCTTTACTAAGAAGACATTTGGAGACTGTTGAAGGAGAAAAGAGCTAGCTACCGTGAATTTAATAAGAATAACAAGTACTTAAAGTATAGCAGCATGAGGGTCAGTGAGATGACGTAGTGGGTAAAGCACTTGTGCACAAGGCTGACGACCTGAGTTCAGTTCCCAGAACCCACATAAAGATGCAAGGATTTGAAAACTCCATGAAATTGTCCTCTGATCACATGTGTGCACACACACTATAATAATAACAATAATAATAATAATAATAAAGTATACTGCCATGAATACATTTGTTCATCTTTAAAAAAAAAACTTCTTATGATGCATGTGCTAAATAAAGTCTCCAAGGGCAGATGCCTTCAAAGCAGAGTGTGACCAATAAAACTATGTTCTGTTACCACATTACAGACACAGATCCCAATGGCCGTATGCCAGGGGACAAGCCTGCCTCAAAGAGGAGAAGAAAATCAAAGTTAGTGTCACTCATCCGTCACTGCTGAGAACAAGTACAGGCCTAATGTCTCTTCCCAAAAGTCTCATCTCTAGCTCCAGGGAAGCACTGTTCAGCTCTGTCTCTGGCCCTAGGCATCCAACCTTGAACCCAGTATGGAACTGTCTCTCCAGTGAGAAACCAGCAAGTGTTCCCATCTGTCCACTCCAAAACAGAAGCTTCTCTCAGACCTCTGAGGTCCTTAGGTCCTAGCTGACATCTCAGGCCAGCCATTCAAAAAAGGAAGCCCTCCCACCTGGGGACTTTGCTGCAACATCTGCCTCCAACCAGGTGAATAGATGGACATTTCCCTGCTCCCTGGGGAGCCGCTGTACGCTCAGGCCTAGCTGAGAACCCTATGCTTCTTGGAGCTCTGCGCAGACTTCTTACCGACATTCCGGTCCAGTCTGTGTTCTGTAACTGTTTCTGGGCTCCTGGGCTCCCAAGAGGACTTGAGGGCCAATGATGTAGCCACTTCCCCTGAATTTTCATGATGTGAGAGGGAAAGTGTTTGGGCTCAGCATGAGGAGTCCAGTTCTACAACTAGAGACACTGCCCTTAGCCGAGTCCCCTCGTCTCCTGTGGTCTGCAGAAAAAGAGGCAGTGCTGAATGCTGCAGGGGTTCCTCCTCCTCCTACCCCTAAACAGCTACGAACTCCCTGGAAGGGTGAGCCAGACCCAGCCCCACCCAGCCCCACCCAGCCCAGGCCAGCTCTATAAAGGAGGCTCCGGGAGAGCCACTTGGGAAGTTCCAGTTCTGAACGCTCCCCAACCATGAGCCTGAGTCTTTCAGGTTTGCTGTTCTTCCTGATGACCTCATTGCCTTCAGGTAGGAGCTGGGCTGTAGGTCTGGACATAAAGGGGAGGTCTCCCAAGGACTCAGACTCTCAGAAGACTCTATGGGTATAAGCTCAGCATAGGAGCTTATAACCTAGGAGATAAGCCAGTGAGTGGGTCAGGACTGGGATGTAGGTGAGAGAGTTAGTGCTCTGTCCTAGTGATCGTTTACTATATTGAGGACACTCAAGGATCTTCAGAGAGGAGAACCAAGTTCATGATGCACGCATCACCACTCAGCCATCTGAATTCCTATTTCCGCCTAAATTCCTCTGGCTGGATCTGTACTCCAGCTCCCTGAAATGTTATGGGAAGCGAGAGGATGAACTCATAGATGCCAAACTACGTCAGCAAGAGAAAACAAGACTGGGGTTGGTACTAGCCCGGCTTGTCTTTTCCTTTTTGATCTTTGTTTGTTTTCTTTCAGGGAATTGTACATTTGGGAATAGAGGTGTAGACCTTCGTACTTGCAATGCAATTGAGGGTGTTTGTTTCTTTGGTTGTAAGCCAGGATGGACATGGATTGCATTCTGTAACAACCTAATGTCCTGTTGTAGACGGGAGAAAACACTGATCCCACCCCAAGCCAATGTCATATGACCTGCACTTCATCAGTCCAATAAAAAGCTATGCAAATGGCTAAAGGAACTAGCTCTCTGTCCGTCTGTGTGGCCCAATGACTCATTAGTAAACAGTGGGGAGCAGATGGGGTGAGGCTGGACAATTTACTCATTTACTGGCAGAATTCCAGGGGTAGTTTGTAAAGAAGGTATTGCAGTGCTGTGCGTCTGTCTTTAATCATAAGTTCCTACTTCAAATTCAACTAATTAACACCAGTTCACATACACAAGGGTGTAACACTCTCTGAGCAGAGAAATGATAGCTTTCCATGGGACCATCACCCTTTTAAGTGTCATATACGTGTGTCTGTGTATGTATGTGTATATCTACATCACTGGTTTAAGTGTCATATGTGTGTGTGTGTGTATGAAATGATGTAATCCTCAAAACAAAATGAGTTCTTTTCCCAAGGTTAGTTTGTCCTGGATTTGAATCTTGATCAAGTGTATTCTCAGCTGAGCTCAACCACTTCTCAACTGGTAAGTGCAGAAATTTGGTTAGGGGGCTGGAGAGACGGCTCAGCGGTTAAGAGCACTGGCTTATCTTGGCAGCTTCAAATCCCAGCATCCACATGCTGCTAAGAACTGTCCATAAATCCAGTTCTAGGGGATCCAATGCCTTCTTCTGTCCACTAAGGGCACTTACACACATGCAGGCAGCACATACATGCACATAAAATTAAAATAAAAATAGGGAGTTCTAACAGAATTACCCAGTGTGGTGGACAATGTCACTCCCAGAAGACATGGGTTATTGAATAAAAAGGGGGGGAGGGTCCACCAGGAAACATCACCCTAGGTGGGGTAAGAGCAGAAAACTCATCTGCTTGGCTCCCACCAGTCCTGTGCCACCATTCAACCAAGGGTCTGCCCAAGCCACAGATCTATCTTTTGTTGTTTTTATATGTTTGAGACAGGTCCTCTCACTTTAGCCCAGGCTAGCTTCAAACTCACAGCACCTCTCCTGCTTCAGCCTCCTGAGTTCTGGGATTACAACTGTGTATCACCAACGCTACACCCTATTCCTTGCTCCAAGTCCCCACCCCATCTCTGCCTCATTTTCTGAGATAGGGTTTCATGTCTACCCATCTAGCCTCCCACTCGGTATGTAGCACAGGATGACCTTGAACTTAATCCACCACCTCTGCCTCCCAAGTGCTGGGGCCACGGGTGTGCACCACCACATCCAGCAGTTACATATCTTAAACATGTCATTGGTTGCAACCAGTAGCAGTGCCACCCAGCAAAGCCAGTGTCATGTGATAAACATAACGGGTCAGCAACTCTGGGTCTTGATCTTCACAGCCTAGATGCCGAAGTAAAACATGGACTGTGAATGGTTGTGAGGTCCAAGTGTTCTCTCTCTCTCTCTCTCTCTCTCTCTCTCTCTCTCTCTCCTAAGTATAAGGAAGTCTTCCTACTTTATTCTCTAAAATTGGAGCAGTTCGCTTAGCCTATAACCCTGACCACCCAGTAGCCTGTTATTCTAAAACTGCAACCAGCCTGATCCGCGGGTTTGAAAACTTCCCCCAGTGCCACATAGCAAAGCTGGGTGGGACTCGAGACAAGGCCAGTTGCCTGCTTTCTGATTCCTGGTGTATAAACTGAAGCCCTGCACTCTTGGAGAAATCTGAGGGCACTAGAGAGAGAAGCCAGCCACGCCCAGAGCTCCCCCACGCCTATTCCTCTTTGAGGAAGAGGGGAGATGTGCTCCAGGCTGAGAGAATGCCCCAAATTCCATCCCGGAACACCTACCTTCAGTTAGTTCTGGGCAGTTATGAGGAGCTGAGGAAGGCGAGGTCAGGATCTGGAACGCCCCACCCTCAGCTGCCTGTTACATCTTTCTCTGGACTTGTGTGCCAACCGTCTCAGCAAAGCTCGGAAGCTGAAAATGCCCAAGCTGACTCCAGAAATGGCATCTTCACCACGAGGCTAAGCCAGCACTTCTCGTGACAGGCCAGAGAGCATACATCTAGGCCTTGTGAGACTCCACTCTGCCAGTGTAACAAAGAGCCACTCAGACATGTGAGCAAGGCCAGCTTTCAGCAAAACTTTAAAAAAAACAGGAGGAGGGTCAGAACCTGCCAACAGTCTCAACTCCTGAAGGGGCATGCCAGTGCCCTGGCCCACTGTGGAACACATTGGTGTGCCTGTGTTTAGGTTCATGTGTGGTCACATGTACACATGTGTGCACATGCATGTGGAGACCAGAGGTCAACATGAGGTTCCTGCTTTTCTTTTTTGGTTTTTTGAGACAGGTCTCCCTGTAGCCCCTGGCCTAGAACTCACTTTGATGACCAGGCGAGCCTCGAACTCACAGAGATCCACTTACCTCTGCCTCCTGAGTGCTGGGATCAAAGGTATGCATCACCACACCCAGCCCCTCCACTTTATTTTGAGACCGAGTCTCTCGCCAAACCTGGAGCTCGCACATTCAGCTCGGCTGGCTGGCCAGTGAGCCCAGCTCTCCCACCTCCACTTCCCCAGCACTGGAATTACAAACATACGCCACCTCGCCCCGCTTTTCACTTGGGTTCTAGGGATCCGACTCGGGTCTTCATCAGCATGTGGCAAACGCTTTACCAAATGAGCCATCTCCCCAGTTCCTCTACTGGGTTTTTTAAACTTCTGTATATAAACACTACTACTGACCATTACATGCAATTCAAAGTACTGTTAATTCCCTTCAGAACAAGAACAAAGTAATGCCAGAATTGGTGTATTTGTATATTCATCTACTCGCCTACGAAACACATAGCCCATGCTTACTACATGAATAGGTCCCCAAAAGACAAAAACAGGATCGCCGGCCATAGTAGTGAGGGACCTGGGAAGAGGGGGTGGCAGATCTCTGAATTCGAACCCAACCTGGTCTACACAGGGAGTTCCAGCCAGGACTCCATGGTGAAACCCTGTCTCAAATATATATATATATAATTTTATGTATAATTATATATAACTATATATAAAATTATATATATAACTATATATATAATTACATATATAATTTCAAAGGAGAGGTGCAGGATAACACTGGATACAGTCATGGGTCATATGGTGCGATGCACCCACACAGACCACATATACAACAGTTGTCCCATCAGATTCTAATGGAAGAGAATCACTATGAATTATAATAGATTATAATGCAGCAGAATCGTCTCAGCTAGAATTCTTGCTATAATTTCTCAGGGTTTAGATACAAACACCATGATGTTACAGTGTCAGCACAGTAACATGCTGTACAGCTGTGTGGCCTGGGAGCAACCGGCTATATCATACAGCCTAGGTATGTGGTGGATCACACTGCATGGGGAGCAGGCACAGTCTGATAATCACTCAATGAGCAAATCATCTAATGATGAATTTGTCAAGCACTGTGAGCCTGTGTCTGTGTATGTGCATACACATGTGTGTACATGTGTGACCCGTGTGCCCCACGTAAATCAAGATATAGGATATTTCTATCACCCCCAGAAAAGTTCATCATGCCCTTCTCAGTCAGTAACTCCAACAAAACAGCCTCTCTGTTACCAACGACCAGCTTTGCATGGGGCTGAGCTTCAGGGACACAGGCTCGCACGTCTGCAGTGTGGCCTAACCTCTGTCACTCGGCATAATGTTTATGAATCTTCGCCATGGTGCTATGGGCAACACTAGTTCACTCTGTCCTTTAGATAGGACTTTATTAACTTCTGTATCCAACCCCCATAGATCAGACTTACATAGTTAATACAATCTGTTACTCCTCTACAACGGCAAAAAATAAAGACCGATCACAGCCACACGCTGTGCAGAAACAGTCCTTTCAGGTTCCGTGGATGTCTGAACAAATTTATAGAGACATCCAGCATGCTTCAACACAATCTGCAGTAAAAACAAAATCCCAGAGAACAGCAGAGTTCTGGTACTGCTGTGGCATCTGATAGTGTTGCTGTTGTTGTTGTTTGTTTGTGTTTTTAGCTTCTCAATCATCTGGAAAGAAAATGCTCTAGAGTAACACAATCTAAAATGACTCTGATAAAGCACAGTCACAAATCACTGGGGGGAGGGCTGGAGAGATGGCTCGGCAGTTAAAAGCACTGACTGTTTTTGCAGAGGACACAGGTTCGAATCCCAGCACCCACATGGTGGCTAACAACTGTCCAGAACTCCAGTTCCAGGGCATCCAACACCCTCTTCTGACCTCCATGGACATTGCACGACACAACTGCACTTACATGCAAGCAGGCAATACACTCATACACATAAAATAAATATAAATATTTAAAACTGCTACAAATCATTTTTAAAATATAGAATACCTCGCTGTATCATTCTAATTTTAGCAGATGTACTGTCAAATCAGGTACTTTTTTTTGAGACAGTCTCAGGTGGCCCACACTGGTCTAGAATTCTCTGTGAAGCAGAGGATAATGTTGATTTTCTGATCCTCCTGCCTCCACTTCCCATGTGCTGGAATTAGCTGTGTGGACTACCACATGGAGTTTGTGAGTGCTGGGAATCAAGCCCACGACTTTTGCATGCTGGGCAAGCACTCCAGCAACGGGGCCACATCCTCAGCCCCGTATTGCCAGTTTTGTGGTAAGTCTTTTTATTACTGATTTGTAGAAGCTACAGAGCACCGGAATTTGCAAACACATTTACAGAAAGGAAATGACCTCTGATTTTAGGTTGAGGCCCATCCCAGTGGCACGGTTGTAAGTTAATGGTAGAGCCAAATGAGAATCTGGTTGGATCCTCTGCGCTCTGTGTCAGCTTTTCCTCCAGTGCCGGTGTCTACACATCCACGCTTGACATGAATAACATGGGAGAGGAGTTGAGGGAGCAAATGAGTGCCCCCAAATACTTCTATGTTGCTTGTCCTTCTTTAAAGGTAGTAGACAGCTAAGTTGTTACTGTGTCGAGTCCTGGAGGAAGTACCTTCCAGCCTTAGCTTCTCCCTGGCTGGATGGATGCATGGATGGATGGATGGGTGGG